TTATTAGGAATAGTCAACTAAGGTGCCATTACCAAATGGTGTTTTTATGTGGTAAACAACTCGTCATGTGAACGAAAATTATCATCGATATTATTACCTTTAAAAAAAATACTCAAATTTCCTACGAGTTTTCAACTTTGCTTTGATTTTGTATACTTTTACTCTGGTATAGAAAATGATATGTATGAGTAAACAAGATTTGACAAAACGTCTACAAATTTTTTTCTAAATTTAAATTGATTTTTTTATTCTCACAACATGCCATGCCACTCAATACAAGTATGCGACACACTAACTCACGATGAGATCTCTCGCTACTACTAATAATTTAATCAAGTATGATTAGTAAAATTAGTTTTATTATACCGGATGTTCTCGAAGGAACAATTTAGTAAACCGGGATGCCGTAACATTTGATTTAAGAGATGAGAGTAAGGACAAAACAAACATTAGAGAGACCCAAAAACTGTTATGGGTATATTTAGTTGGGCCAAAATGAGCCCGCTAAACAAACAACATCGTAATAAGTTTTAGTTCTTGTCCACAATAACAAATACGGCCTGGATTAATTGTGGCCCATTCTAACAATTTTTTTCAAGAACAAAGTATAAATAACTTGCTCAATATTCTTCAGTGGGAGATTTGTATGAAACAGATATCCAAAACTTTTGTTACATAATGGTAATATGTGTGATCCGTTATGTTATGTCCTGACCGATATATTTGCATTTGTTTTTGTTTTGGGATCAGTTTCCAAATCTAGTTATTAGTTAATGTTAAATTTTATGATCATGTAAAACACTATCATCAACTTCGGATAAATATATCAAATGGTTTTGGACTAGTGTCGAATTATCGGGTTTTCTAGCATTTTGACGTTCCTTTTTAGTTCGACTTTTTTGGGGAAGAAACCATATTTTTCAACGAAGATATGTATAAACTTCGGCTCACAACTCCTTGATTAAACCTTATTTAGAAAAAGTTTAAGATAGATAGTTACTGATTAGACATTTGAATACTTAGTTGTTACAGTTGGTCACAAAAAAAGTTTGTGTTCTCTGAAATGTATATTTGAAATTTACAATTGGATGCATGTAATATCCAGAAATCACGGCGTGATCCCATTATATCAAAATCATAATTAATCGAATTTGGTTTTTAGCTCATAACCACTAATATTAGACTTTTCAGTGTATCTTTTTTGAAGAACTCCCCACAACACACAATAGAGAAAATGACAGAACACCTTACACAGCTGGTTAACACTACCAACGCTCAAATCACACAAAAAAATCAACTAATGTGATTTAACATTGAAATTGACCTTGTCGAATTTGAGTAATATAGAATAATCAAGATTTGATGTTTTGCTTAATTAGTGTTGTCAAATGTAAGTTAACTATAGTACAGGAAATAACACATTTGAGAAAATCACACATACGTGAATTCGCACAAAGATAGGTGTCGCAATATGTGACTCAAGCAGAAGTAAGCTCAATACCAACTTTTGGTTTTCACACACAAAAAAAAAAAATGTATACCAAATTACCAACATATCATATACGCTTTGATGAAAAGGAA